AAAGTTGGTGGCACGGGGGTGAATGTGCGGTGGAAGCATGGAGCAAGGACCCAAGTTGAGCAGCGCCTTCGAAAGAGAGAGTTAGAGGGACATGATGTATGTGTGAGAATGCGGTGACCCCTACCATTGTCATGCCATGGCCAACAGTTGCCGGGAAAGTAGCAGCGTTGGCGTTGACCACTCCTCCAGGCGAGAAGGTGTACTTGTCCTGCTTGGTGAAGTCAAAGAACCAGTCCGAATCATTCGGGAGCAAGTTCATGCGATCCAGGTGCGTGTCGGCCACGCGAAGCTTAGCGACGAGGTCTGGGTTCTTGTCATTATCGACAGCCAAGGCCACAGAAGCCACAGCGAGGCAGGAGAGGAAGCTGGGGCCGATAAACATGTTTGCAAAGGGTTCCAGCTAGAGTAAAAGTGGTGAAGAGGCGCAAGTAGGAGTGAGGTGGAGCACAATCTGTGTGAAGCAAATCTTTCGAGCTCGAGAACAGCTGTTGGCCTCTCTGTCTGTGTAGGTTTGTTGAAGATAAGTGACCCGGTTATCACAAAGAATGATGATTGGAAAGAGTGTCAAGACAGATCAGAATTGACTGTGGTAGTGTTGACAGCATCTTGGCGATTCGAGGTGATATGGACGCCAGGAAATCTGGCCAAGTTCGTTCGAGGCGAGGCTGAAAAATCGTGAAGTGAAGGTGAGGGTAAACTCGCTTCGAGGCATCCTTGGTCATTTGGTCGTTATCACACTTCATTCACCCAGATATCTTCAATCAGTTCAGCACATGCTCCTTTAACAACATGAAGTGTTGCCACCTCAAGGCCCCACCAGGAGTCAGATCGGTAAACGGGTTGAACGCCTCAGTCACTGATTTTGAAAACGCCTCACGGTTGAATTGGGTCGCTATCTCCCACATACTCATCCGCGATCCCAAATATTTACCGACGATGACATTGCTGGCACCATCCGTGTGTCCTGTCCATTGTATGACGATGTTATGTTCCCATGACAGCAGAGACAAAGCATCAAGTGACATAATCAGACATCGCAAGACTAAGACCTAATGTGAACAAAGCAAGATCATGTCGTTCCAATATGCCTTTATCATGGATTGAATTGGGAGTATAGCGTGCCCTCCGACCAGAAGGATACAAGGTAACGCGACGTCAGGCTGAGACTCTCCGGTTTCTCCCTATGACCTTGGTTGACGGTCATGCATTCCGGTGGATGGTGTCGATGCGCCATTGATTAGAGCTCTCAGTCTGGTCTGTTGGAAGACTTTCTTCGGTGGTTGTGAAGTCTACCTTTTGCGGGATGCATCTCTAACCCAGGCCAAGTACTCCTTTGAACAAATGCCGCACATCGCAGGAGCATTGCCGGTTAAGGAATATCAGCCACTTGATGGTCTCCAGGCGCTGCACCTTGAGTGGGCTTAGCTGCGGATGCCTGTGTTGTTTCTGCTAGCAACCTCGAGGAGGGCTTGACTGAGCCATGGGTGAGCAATCCGGTCCAGAGTACAAAGTCAAGACTAGGGTGGTGACGGTGGTGCTGGTGCTGGTGCTGAGAGAAGAGAGAAGAGGCTGGGATTGCAAGGACGAAAGGTGCAGATGTCAAGCCGCCATCCGCAGGCAGAATCAGACTCGGCAAATTCAACTTCCCCTTTCTTTTGGCCGCCACGCCGCCTACAGACAATGCATCCATCGTCACTATTCATCAAGGCTCATCTCTACTCACAGTCCTACATACCACAACCTCATCGAACCATACGATTCTCCCGCATCGACTTTTATTCCACGACTGGATAAGACTATCCGCCTCGCCCCTGGTCGCTCACCGTTCCAGCTTTTCCGCGACAAGCTGCGAGAGCATCACATCCAACTGAACCCACCAGCGCCCCAGGAACCCCTCCACAACGTCAACTGGAACAGCCTCAATGCGTCTTACGTGCATAGATACTTGAGACGCGGTAGACTATGGTGCAAAACAAAGAACCTCTGCTCAAGATGCTTTAGGAGCTGGAAAATGTCTGTTCTCTATCAGAATTGGCTGACGGACCTTGCTCTCTTCTTGTGGCTCGAGACTTCCAGTCTCTGTTGGCCTGGCCTCGTTCTTACTGACTTGTGGCTTTCAGAACAGATCTGTGACAGCCCCATGACTGGCATCACTGACGAGCGCTGCATATTTTGCTAGTGTGCCCCTCGTTACTGCCGGCTTGGGAGGTTTCCACTCCTTTCGACGTCTTTCCAGCTCCTCGTCACTGACATCCATCGAGATACTGTTTTTCTCGGCATCGATTGTCACTTCATCACCATCTTTGACCAACGCAATCGGCCCACCAACGGCTGCCTCGGGACAAACGTGGCCCACGATAAATCCGTGTGACGCACCCGAGTACCGTCCATCAGTCACAAGAGCGACGTTCGTGAGACCTGCCCCCATGATGGCTGCACTGGCCTTTAGCTGCTCCGGCATCCCTGGCCCACCCTTGGGTCCCTCATATCTGACGATGAGCACAAGATTCTCTCCACGTGGTATCGCACCTCTATTCAGCGCATCGTTCAATTCAGCCTCCTTTTCAAAACACCTCGCCTTTCCTGTGAATCGAAGGCCTTCTTTTCCTGTGATCTTTGCCACCGCCCCGGCAGGTGCAAAATTGCCTTTGAGAATCTGAATGTGCCCGCTCTCCTTGATGGGGTTTTTTAGGCTCTTAATGATGACTTGATCGCTGGGGAGGCTGGGCCAGCTCGCGACATTCTCAGCCAGGGTCTTACCGGTTACTGTCAAAATGGAGCCGTCGAGCATGCCCGCTGCGATCAGGAGTTTCTGTACACTTGGCACGCCCCCGATCTCGTAGAGATCTGCCATGGAATATCTTCCCGATGGTGCAAGATCTGCGAGGAAGGGGATCTTATTGCTCACGCGCTGGAAGTCATCGAGGGTGAGCTCCACACCTGCGGTGACAGCCATGGCGAGCAAGTGGAGGACCGCGTTGGTACTTCCTCCTAGGGCCATGGTTATGACGAGTGCGTTCTCGAATGATTTGGGGGTCAAAAGTTTCTTTGGTGTGATGTCCTGTTCCAGGCAGACTTTAATGGCATCTGCGGCTTTGGCACATTCGCGCATTTTAGCTGGCGAACTCGCTGGTGTCGAACTCGATCCCGGCAGCGATAATCCCATTGACTCGATTGCTGTGGCCATGGTGTTGGCGGTGTACATGCCACCACAGGCCCCGGCACCCGGACAGGCATGCCTTTCAAGATCCTCCATGATCTCGTCTTTGGTCTTGGATGTGTCACCCCCATCGTCCGGTTGACGCAGGGTATTGAACGTGTACGCACCAAATGCCTCGTAACAGGTGGCGACGTTGATGGGCCGGCGCAAAGTCTCCGAGTATCCTTTGTCGATTGTCCCTCCGTAAATCATCAAACTCGGTCTGTTATGCCTCGTCATTCCCATGATACAACCCGGCATGTTCTTGTCGCAGCCAGGAATGGTGATGTTGGCATCATGAGCTTGGGCACATGTCACCGTCTCGACCGAGTCGGCGATGATCTCGCGAGTTTGCAAACTGAAACGCATTCCTTGGTTTCCCATGGTGATGGCATCGCTCACACCGATGGTGTTGTACTGCCAACCCAGCATTCCACGAGCATTGACGGCCTTCTTGACCTCCTTGCCCAGGTCCAGAAGGTGCATATTGCAGGGATTTCCTTCCCACCAAACACTGGCGATGCCGACATGAGGAGCCGTCTGCATTGCTTGTCTGTCTGGCACGCCCGCGGCGAAGAGCATAGCCTGTGCCCCGGGGAAGTCATGCTGACGAGTCAAATGCGTTGAGTAGCGATTGAGCATGGGCTTGCCATCGACGCCGGTGGGCTCCGAAGAGCGCACGAAGTCGAGGTAGCGCGGTTCCTGGAAGCCACCTGTTTTATCCATCTTGAAAGATTGTCTTGCTCTTGACGCTCAGTCCTGCACGCGATTGAAAGGGAAGACCGTATGACAGGCGATGCTCGGGAATTAGAAATGATGGGCCAATGTCAAAGACACTTTCGGTGATAGATTTGCCAGGGCCGAGGGTGGGGGATCTCGAGCTCCCAGCGACGATGCTGTCTGTGGTTTCTGACGGATGCAACAGAAACTTTGTGACTGGAAAATTCCAGGCCGGGAAGAACCTTCGAAATACAAGACGTTCGATTGGCAGAATCCGTTGCTCCATTGCTCACTCTGGCATTCATGATCCTCTGGATTCCCCACATTGTCATATTGGTTTCTCGGAGTTGACGCCGAACGAGGGGAATTGATCAGATGAGGGTTGGAGGGGCAGACAAGGCTGCAGTTCCTAGGCTTAAGCGTGCTTGTTTGCACTGTTTGCATCATAAGGTGTGATTGCACTGTTTTGTACGTTTGTCAGTTTTCCCTCTGCAAACGACGTCACTCGACATCGAGTTGCGACCCCATTTCTATCCAACAAGTTGGACGCTTAAAGCCCCTTTTGACCCACCTTATTTCCTGTCACGACAGTTGCCGTGTGATTCACAGGCAAGATACCCATCCGCAAAGGGTCACGGACCAGATGCCGCTTCCGCAGAATCCGCGGCAAAGGAGATGGGCCCCAAAAGTAAGGACTGGTTGTAAGACTTGCAAGTAAGTACGCGAGTTATCTGGAGTTTCCTCACCGCGGTGACAACTCTAGGAAACGCCGGAAACGCTGCGACGAAGGGAAGCCGTATTGCATGAGGTAACGACAGCCCGATCACCAGCTATCATATCCTAACGTCGACCAAGATGTTTGAATGACAAGTTCCATTGTGACGGATACGAACCTTCAAAGACCTGGCTGTTTGAGCCATCTAAAAAGGATAAAGTCGACAATTCAAAACGAGAATCAAGCTCGGTGCAGGCATTTCTGTCACACCAAGAGTGCCACAGGCCCTCTGTAATTGCAAGAAATAACAATCAGGCTCTTTCCAATCCCTCCAGGATCCTTGCCGAACCTTCGACCCCGTGGACGATGGACGTGGACCACAGCTACACCCAGTTGTTCCTCTGCAAAACCGCGCCTCTTCTCTCTTCCACCAGAAAATGGCGTCATTTCTGGCAATCCATCGTCCCACAAGTTGCCTGGGCGAACCCATCCGTCCATCATGCAATGATAGCGGTCGCGGCGACTTTTGACTCTTATATTTCGGGGATTGATCACACCGTCCTGATACTGGAGCGGAGATCCCAAGCTGTTCGTGCATTTACAACCCAGCCTCCTTCATGGGATGTCGCGTTGATCGTCTGCCGACTGTTCTCCGCAATGGCTCAGTGCAACGAGGATTTCACGGCCGCCATGGCGCACATGAAGAGCGGGGAGAATATTCTCAGAGAAGCGACCCGAAATGAACATACAGGGTCCGAAATTGTTCGGCTAATGGCTGCGACCTTTTTTGGTCTATCAGCCGACACAAACAATGATATTAGTGTTATGGATCGATTCCCTCCGAGCAAGCGCCGAGCCTGTCTTGAGCTGAAGGTTATAGGCGCTGACTATGCAAGGCTCATACGCCGAATAGCGCAATTGCGCCTTCAAGACGTCGACACGCCGACGATGGGGTTCCTCTCAGTTGCCTTTACCACGATGAACCAAGCCATCAGCTCTGCCATGTACCCAGACCTCCTGGTATTTTCTGAAGACGACGGGGTCGTGCCTGCGGCCGAGGTCCGCACCAAGCTGGTACGGGAAGATTCTTTGGTGACCATGGACGAGCTAATCATCATGTATCCTTGTCTATGCTATGAGCTAGAACACTACCTGGATGGCATAGCCACGGGCACGGGCATTCCAATGGCGTCATCTCTCAATGATCTCAAGAAGCGACTCAGAGTCCTCGTGGACAATTACGTCGTGCAGGCGTCAGAGATCGAGCCGCGCATGACGGCCGGCACATTTTGGCTCGACGACTGGGGGGTCCCGGGGTGCTTGATGCACAGGCACCTCGACCGACCGCAGACAGGCGTTAGTCCGTGTCTGGGGCAAGAGGGGGTGGGCGCCGGTCCTGAGGATCAAGACCCCGTCCTGCGTGAGAGGAGAGAGTACTACCACGAACACGTCTGTCAGTATCGGAGTGGTTTCATGTGTTGACCTGGTCTGGTTCGAGTGTCATCAGTCATATGAACTCGACTTTTTGGCTCTTTTTGAAGCTTCATCACCACCTCCCTCTTTCCCCTTCAGAGCCCGTTCAGAAGATTTTCAAGTCATTGGGTTTGTTTTTTTGTCATATCACATTGGTATATAAAATCTGCTGTTTCTCTGGGTATCTCTTCTCCTTTTGGAAAAAAACCGTTTTCACACGCGCGCCCCTTTTTGCTTTTCCCTTCCCACCCATCAGCAGACGTCTTTAGCGGGCGATATGCAAAATAAAAAAAGGCTCTCTATACACTCAACGCTCGACGCTCATTGATCGAGCCCCATTCCTGCCCTTATCCTCTCCTCTCCTGTCTGGCAAGAACACGTACAAGGCAGACAAAAAGCCCACAAGCACAAAAAAAGGGTCGTTAAGGAGAGACATGAAAGGGTATCCAACAACTCCCGACGGCCATGGATAAGAGAAGTTATTCTCCGATGGCCACATTCCCTTTTTTCCCCCTTCCTCTTGGCCATCCCTAGAACTCTCCACACACCTAGGGATGTCCACCCACGGCTTCCTGCCTCAAGGGCACGTTTACTGGATAATAGAAGGGAACGACGGGGCAACTGGTTGAATGTCAGTAATTTGAAATCCCAAAAGACTTGCGAAAGGGCAGCCACTCACTCTCCATGATGGCAGGGCCAAAGAGCACTTCGTTGGCACTCAGGCTTCTGCCGGAAATGTCGACGATCGTTATGAAAATGAACACTTGGCCGCCACCGATACTGCCTGGGATGCTGACGTTGATACTTCCGTCACTTCCAAAGACGGCCTGTACCGAGACCACCTCGAGGCCGGCAATAAACGTCACAAAGACGACTTCGACTCGAGAGAAGTCATGGTGCGACTTGGAAAAGTCTGGAATGAGTTGAAGAGACGAGCCAGCACCGGGGGCGGAGCAAGATGAGGCAGAGCCACCGTTTGTGCGCGCCTCGAGAGCGGTGCTGCGTCGTGCATAGGCAGGTGTGGATGTGGCCATCGAGGCCATATCCGTGGTCGTGGTCGTTGTAGTTGTGACTGACGCAGCGGCCTCGGCGGTCGCCATATCCATAGTTGTGGTAGTGGTTGTTGAGTAGTCGGCCGAGTCAGTGGTGGTGGTAGAGGTGGTGGTGGTGGTGGTGGTGGTTGTCGACGTGCTGTCGTAGGCCGCTGTTGTGGTTGTCGAGTCTGTGGCATCAGCTCCATACGCGCTTGTGGTGTCCGTGGCAGTTTCGATGTTGGCCACAACGGTAGCATAGTTGACGGATTCCGTGGAGAAACTTTCGCTGCTACCACTCTCGTCGAAGCAGGCCTGGGAGTTGGTCTTCAAGCCGGGAAACGCAGTGAATGGCAGCGGTGGATTGTCGGCAGGGCAGGAGACGATGAACTGCGAGGCAATGGTAAAGACCGAATTGGGGTCAAGAGGCTTGAAAGGTTCTCCGTTAGTCCAAGTTTATCGCTCAAACAGCCATCTGTACCAAAAGGGAGGTTAGACTTACAGTTGTAAATGGATTGGGGGCGGCAATTGCACCGAGCGAGCTTCTCTGCGAACTGGTATGCAATGCCTCCGTGGCCATAATACTGGCAGCTACCGAAAGGATATCTCGCGACCCGATGAAGGGCGCCGCTCCGAGATAAGCACTGGTTCCCACAGATTCCAGGATGGCGCTCACAGTGACGAAGCTGGCAACGTCCGTCACTGGGAAGCTATACTGGCAAGGTTGGACCGGTCGAACACCGGCAGATTCAATCGCAGCGATGAGGAACTCAACGTGTGCCGATTCGTCCGACGCTATGAATTCAAGGTTGAGGAAGAATGCCTCGTCAAAGCCGGCATTGACAAAGTCCTGCAACTTGAAGCTGCTAAAGGCTTCCTTGTAGAAGGTGTTTTCAAGGTGCTCGAGCTATTCAGGATGGGTTAGATTGCTGAGGTCCGTCTCAAGGATAGAGCTTGACAGAAGGGACTACCTACCGTTAGAGCAAATTGCAAGATGGTGATGTCAACCTCGGAGAAGCTGCCACCACGCTTGGTAACAGGATGGGCCAACGTCAAGCCGGCGAAGAGGGTGCTCAGACCAGAAAGAGTGAATGCTTTCATTTTGAGGGAGGAATGGGGTTCTGTGGGAGCGCGACTGATATCAAAGGGATATGACGGAAGACGTATGAATGAGAGTGTCCAGCACACGGTCAGGCAAAAGCAGAGCTTGTCAAAAGCTTGGTGAATGGAATGAAAGGCAGACTTGTCAAAAGCCTCGTAGAAAAGAATGACTTATCAAAAGTCTTTTGAAGGAAGGACTGTAAGCTGAGTGCTGGTTGGAAGAAGTGCTGATCGATATCATTCTGGCCATCAGAGGGAGGGTTATATACATAGTCTCTGCCATACCAGACAGCTTCCAAGAAGGAAGTGTGAAGATCCGAGCATCGCCTGCTCGCTCATCCATCTCGGTAACCCGTACGGAGTTCATCATGTCAGCAAAAGTGTTCAACTCACTACAAATTTTGACACCGGATCATGGAAGGTGTTTGTTTCAACTTTCCCAGTGGTGTTGTATCAAGGAGCAATATCTCGAGGGGGCAAGAAAAAAGGAGCCCTGTATCTCATTCATGGGGTAAGCGTGCCCAAGCTATCTCTCGGAAGTTGATAGTTGCCGGGAGAAAGGCGTTGAGATTCCCGCAGTGATCTGCGCCAGGAGGAAGGGCAAGGGGAATGTTTGCGCAGGGCTAACACCTAGGTCGAGATCTGGGGAGGGGGCCCAGAACCTGACCGAGCCAGTGCCTATTCCATTTCGGGTGGTTATTGCAGAATTCACTGAACGTCGCGAATGATTGCAATTTTAACTGCGACACCGGAGGAGCCTGAGGAAGCGGTATGAGGCCAGGGCGGGGAGGGCGTGTAAATCCAGCGGCTGTCTTCTTGACCGTTGTGGCAGGTACCAGCCACAGTGGTAACTTTGAAACAGTTTATGTCTCTCAGTGGCTCAAAAGAAAATGGCAGAGGGAGATGGTGACCGGAGGGTTGAACAACCGAACAATGGTGAAGCTGTTGACATGTTTCAGCGACAAGAAGGCGCGACAATGCCAAGCCTGAGCACGTGAATCCAACAAAGCTTGGCATGAGCTTCGGCTCAGAGCTTCAACAGCAGTCTATACCTATTTGAGAGAACCTGACGTCAGTGGGGCGATGCTCGAAGATCCCCAGCTCGGGCCCTGGTGGCCCTGGCTTTCTCCCTGTGCCTCATCCAACATCATTGTAGATCAACCTTGTTTTACTTTTGCTCAAAGTCCTGTTCAGCTCCCTGTGTACACTTCTCAGCTCACTACCCATTTGCCCTGCATAGCCCGGGAACTCACATCAGTGGTTCATCTGACAATCCCATTGGTTCATTGCTGGAACATCGTCTCCGCTATGATGTATGCTGGTATTTCGCAGCACGCCTTGATTGTCCGATCTTTCCCTCTATCAATTCTGGTATGAATACTGGCAGCATGTGCAATGTACAATGGCCAATGCCGTGAGAGACAGTCGAATTTAACTATAAAGATAAGCCAGCTGGCGCCCTTTTCTCCAACCCTATCCCTACACCTGGACTTTCACTGCATATCCGCATTCTGTGGCCCTTTACAAAACAATCAAAACCATTTCTGGCAAGAAGAAAAAGCATAACCTCTTGTAACACAGACAACATGAACAACCAAGGACAAGCAGCTGGACAGAAGGAGGACTACCTCGACAAGGGTAACTCGATTCCTCACCTCCCTTTTCTTTCCCTTTGAGCTACGGGGGGACTAATCGGTCTCTTTTTGCGCACAGGTCTCGATGCCGTGGAGAAAAAGTTTGGCCAAGGTACATTTCACACATTTCTTCTCTCTCGGTCTGCGTCGTCTCTTCTGTACCACTCCTCGCAAAGTCTCGTCAAATACCGGGGAAATGCATATACTCTAAAGACTCATCCTGACCTTGTTCCCTCGATCAGGCAAAATCGACCCCGCAAAGCAAAGGGGCGTCAACGAAAAGATCACCGACAAGGCGCGAGATATGTTTGAAAAGGCCACTGGGAAAGACGTTCCTGACAAGGTACGTTATGTGCTCATTCACAAAGCTGCCTGTTCAATTCCCCAACCTTACGGACTTGGGTGCATTATATATCGCGCACATCGTTCCTCGCCCAACGTCGTCAATATAAGAAGTGTGCTGGGAACAAAAAATGTAGTGAAGACAAGCTGGGTTGGAAGACTGGGGGACACCATCACACTTGGCATCTATCTCGACAATTGTGTTTGCGCTATTATGCCCCAGACATTAACAAGTCTATGACTAACACTGTGTACATCTCCACAGGTCAGCAACTAATGTGTGGTGTTGATGCTCGATCACTGCAAGGTACCGAGGACTCATGGCGAACCTGGGGGATTCGTTCCCTCAGTCAAGATGGAAAGTGAATTAAATGTTATCAATTGAATGTCCAAATATTTGTCTTCAGAAAAAACATTTTCCCGTGTAAGCTACGATCTATTTTTTCTATACCGGCGTTAAGGTGTCATGCCACGGTGCTGGTGCTGTTTACCCTTCGAAACCACCCAGGCGAAGCGTCGTGAGTCAGCATACACAGAATGTCATGACTGGTTGCTGACTCCCCAGAACTTCGGCCACAAGCATGTTGTCAGAAAATCATCTGTAATCCTCCTGTCCTGTTATAGCCGATCAGTCCACAGAAGTTTTTTCCGCCGTAGTTGAAGTCCATGGAATTTGTAGTTACACTCTTAGCAGCTCCGTGGTTGGGCTCATGGGAGCGTGTGCACAAACAACATACCTCGGAAACGGCGGATCTTCTCTTCGACTCCGGAACTCGGTTGATGTCCCTTGGATGAGCATGTCCGTTGATCTCACACAAACATGCCCATTGCCAAACCAGCCCGTTCTATGCGCTCTGTAGTGGACCGATCACGGACATCATCATCCGATAACAACTTTCCA